CCATTTCAAGTCTTGGCCTCCATGGGATGTTCAGTTCATGAGACCAAGAGTTAACCTGCCTGCCTCTCCAAGCTTGTCATGCTCCCTTAGAGCTGGAATTCACAGTGAAGCTGAATCCCAAAACACACCTTTCTACAGCCTCTGAGAGGTGCAGACAAACGAAGACCCAGACCAGGATCTTCATGGTGCTGATTCCCAACTGCTCACCAACCCGCAGGACACAGTGGCAGACCCAAGTATTGGGACCCACAGAGGGAGGCTGGGTCTCTCTCTTATAGTCTGATCTCCCTGCCCTTCTCCTCTCTAGGCACATGGGCTTTGTGCCCCTACACATTCATGGATTGTTTGTTTTTCCCTTTGGCAAGCATCAAGAACTTTATATCTACTCTGTGGTCAATTAAAAAAAGCAATTAATGGCTTTCCTGATGGAATCTAAAGATTAGCATGTGATATCTAATGTAAAGTGTACTGGGGACCAAAGATCCTGGTGCGTGTGTCTACTGGGAAACGGGTACTGGCAACTTCTGCCAGAGCAATGGAACAATTTGTTCTTTAGCTCCAAAGGGCATGTGCTTTTTTGAGATTTACAGTCTATCTCTACTGCTTCTCCTTTTCCCCTCTCTTCCTCTGATCAGTCTCATCTATAGCCTTCCATACAAGGTCAGACAATTAGGTTCGTGAACTCATCCTAGGAAAAGTGCTACATACCTCATTGCTCAATATCACTACAGCAACCTTCGAAGTACTCCCCTTAGGTGCAACCTTTGAAGCACCAAAGCCAGTGCCTAGTCAACCCTTCAAACCAATTTTGGAACTCTTTTTCTGAATGGCTATCAGAGCTGTTGTCGTATTAACCCTGGTGTCCTGAATGTCATCAAAATGTCTTCCTTTCAATATTTCCTTTATCTTTGGGTAAAGAAAGAAGTCTTTGGGGGCCAGATCAGGTGAATAGGGAGGGTGTTCCAATACAGTTAGTTGTTTACTGGCTAAAAACTCCTTCACAGACAGTGCGGTGTGAGCTGGTGCATTGTCGGAATGCAAGAGCCATGAATTGTTGGCGAAAAGTTCAGGTCATCTAACTTTTTCATGCAGCCTTTTCAGCACTTCCAAATAGTAAACTTGGTTAACTGTTTGTGCAGTTGGCACAAATTCATAATGAATAATCCCTCTGATATCAAAAAAGGTTAGCAACATTATTGCACAAGTTTGCAAACTTAATTGTCACACCTCATATATGATTCTCATAATTCTTAACACTCTGCTCTTTATTTTCAACTTCTTCGTTCATGGATTAGCCAACACTTATTGAGTGCCTACTCTGTGCTCACCTCTATACCCAGCACTGGGAGTGCAAAGATTATTAAGAAATGGTCCTTGTGTACAAATGTCTGCATTCCTGCTGGAATGACTGACACATAATCAAATTATGAGCGATGTGATCACTGTGGGCCTTTAAATGTGTGTTGAGTGAATGAGAGGGATAATAACAGTATCACAAAGCAAGAGAGAGGGAAGGATAGCTTCTGGTGGGATGGAAAAGGTTTCACAGAAGAGGTAACATTTGAATGAGGATCTTGTAGAATGTGAGATGAGGAAGTAAGGAAAGTGGAAAAGCTATTGCAGGCAGAAGGAAAGCTTGACCAGTGGCACAAAGGAGTGAAATTGTGTGATGAGTTCAGAGAACATGGTGACTAACGTGGCCAGAACAGTAGTTCTCAACATGGTTTCTTGCCAGCCAAGACTCATCCAAAGGACCAGCACTGGATCTGCACAAGTCTCATCATGCTAAATGTAGCTCTGAAAATTATTTTCTACTCAAGCAACCATATGAAGTGAAAAGGACTGTCATACTAAACTAGGAATACTCTTGAGTCTGCAGTACTGTATTAAAGCAGTATGTATTCAGTAGCTGCAGTATTTGAACTATAATATTATTCTACCAAATTATGAATTACATGCTTCATAACTAATTACAACACACCATGGATAGAACCAATGGACTACAGTATGAGGAGTCTACATGGGCATAAATAGATTGTAAGGTAGACCTTATATACCATGGTAAGAAATATTGATTTTATTCTGTAAGCAATAAGGAGCCATTAAAGTTTTTCAACCCTCCGTCGAGCGCAACTGATCTCACAGATTCATTGCACACAAATTTGCAAATATGAAATATGTCTTTACTGTACTAAGTCACAAACACAACTGGCGATAGGTTACAGTAGAGGGGGAAGATACGGAAGCGATGAGTCACGATATTCAAGTTAACTGTTAGATATTTGAAAATTTGTGTGCAATGAATCTGTGACATCAGTTGTGCCCAACAGAGTTAAACCCAGCAAATGACACACGGAAAACCTGATATATATATCATGTATACTAGTTTTTCAGATTGTAGCATTTTGAGAAGCATTAATGAAAAAGTCCAGTTACCAAAATGATTTCCTAAGAAAAGTTTAGCTGGCACAAGGGAAGTTACTGGAACTTTGCCATAAATCTACCATTGAAGCTGTTGAGCTGTGCACGAAGCCAAAGAAGTTTCCAGTTTCATGTGTATGATTTAATGTTTCTTTATTGAAATAAATTCTTAAAGGAAAACTTAAGAACTGTATAGGGGCCGGCCAAGTGGCGCTTTGGTTAAGAGCTAGCTTGGGATGCCAGAGGGCCCTGGTTCGGATCCCACATATGAGGGCCAGTGACACTGCCCTCTACAGCTAAGATGCGGAACAACAGCTCAACCTGGAGCTGGGCTGCTGTGAGTCACTGGAGAATGCATAGGCTGCAGCCCCTGCTGCAGTGGGTTGCCATGGGCTACCATGTATACCCAGCAGCCAGCGTGAGCGGCTAGCAGCCACCGTGAGTGGCCATCCAGAAGCCAGCGACTGATCTGCTTCACCCGGGAAGAGCGCAATGATGGTGCAAACTTGGGCCAGTGAAGCAACGTCCTCCACAACGAGACTGAAGAACAAAAAGACAGCAACTTGTCTGTTCTCCTTCCCTCAATTCCCCAGCGCTGTTCCCATTCCCCAATTCCCCAATAAAAATCTTAAAAAAAAAAAAAAGAACTGTATAGGATATGTTTATAGAAATAGCTCTCACTTATTGAACACCGACTTTGTACCAGGCACATAGTTCATGCAACCATTGCTAATTCAATGTCCCCAGGATCACATAGTTAATAAAAGGCAGAGCTGGGACTTGAAGTCTGGTTTGTCTGAACTCAGCCTCTGTCTAACCACAGCCTCCCCACTAAGCCTGCTGTGTGCAAACTCTCTTTGGTTCAATGTGCATGAAAGTATCAACTTTAACAGTAATGACCAAGGGATTTACATTTGATTTAGTTTTTTTGTAGGAAAATATTCTAATTGCTTTTCTCAAGCTCATTAGTTTTTTTCCTGGGCACATGAAAAATATAATCCTGTATGCTGCTGCCACCTGGTGGCAATATTCCTAATTTACAAAAACAGTTCTTTGGAACATTGAAGGGACTCTTTCACGTGATTCCAAAATTCATCTTAGAAAGTGACAAGAGCTCATAGCATCTTTTTCATGGCTTCCTTTCCTAGGTGTAGACAACTTGTGCCTGTTTATTAGTCATGACTGTTTGAGGCTGTGCCCTGCCCTTTTCCACCCATGTCAATCACCTTGCCTGCGGTTCCTAAGACTTCTCCTATCCCACAACTGGGCCTCTGGCCTCTGACCTCTTGTCAATCCCTTAACACTCTAGATGCTTTCTTCTTCATTTATTAACTGACATCCCACTGTAAGGAAAAGCTGTCCCTGCTTCCCTATTTGGTTATTCAATTATTCATTTATAGCATATGGACTCATGCTATTTACTTTGTTCCATGGGTTATAAATCCATTATTATCATTATTTTGTTGCTTAAATTGTCCCTATTTTGGCCCCTGGGAATTCCTTCAAGGTAGCTTTTGTTTCCCTCTAACATGGACCCGTCATCTTTTGAGTACTTCCTTACTTTCTGGAAACATCAGATATTCCAGTCTTTTCTTGTACTTTCCCTGTTCTAGCATGAGAATCAGCCATTTCCTTCTATTGGAGCACAAAGTTTAGAAATCAATATCTGGGCATTAAATATTTTATGTCAATCGTAATTGAAACTAAAGAAAATTAATAATATTAAATTATATCTCTCGGCCCTAACCAAAAAAAAGATCTGGATATTGGATGTACTTATTGCTTCTGAAATGCCATTGCTTTCAGGCCTTCTCAGTGGTCAAAGCTAGGAAATATATTTATGTATACACATACTGTGTATCTATGTTAATTTTTATGTTGACCTATTTTTATATACTTTTAGAACCATGATTTTGTACTGATACCTCTGATCCCAACACCACAGGGTTCATTTTAGCCTTTCCCTGTCTATCCTGTTTCGTAAGGCACTAATGTTTCGGGGTTGGTTTGTTATGCAACTTAACTGATTTGTGATTTATGCTGTGACAACATGGGCCTGTGACCATGTACCCACACATGTGTAGATACATCCTTCACCTGCTTCAATCATTCATTTTATTTATTTTTTTAGCTGAGCCATCCTGCCACCTGTTGTCAATCATTCTTGATAGGTGCCTGGACCTACAGGCATGTTAATTTGGGACCCTTATCTTCAAGACTTGGAGGCTGCACTTCCAAAAGAAAGGGTAACATCAGTGATAGGTATGATACCCACTCTGAGAGTCATTGTCTCCTAAAGGGAGGGCTAGAAATTGGCCCTGTGTCTGTGCGAACTTAACGAGGGTCAGTCGTGCCCAGAAACACTCCATAGGGAGATTGCAGTGTGTAGTAAGTGGGAATTGATGTTTCTGGAGAAGACCCAGGAGACAGTGCAGGTAACACACAAAAGTACTGTTTTGCCTTGCTCTCAACCATTTCTTATGGTAAGAATGGGTGGGGGTGTTTCTTCAGAGACAACTAAGATTTTTAACAAGCAGGGAATACAATTGGGAGATTCAGCTTACCCTTCCTTCTTTCAGTCTCCCTTGAGGATTGAGGAAAACTTCTCTAGAAGACATGCTGGCTCTGACCGACAGCGAAGTGAGCAGTTTCATGGCAGAGAGGGACGCACATAATCCACACTAGAAAACATCGGTGTGGGCTAGATACAACAACTCCCTCTCCAAAAATAGCAGTAGGGGAAAGTGGCCTTGAAAAAGAGAAGCTGAAATTGGATTGTACAGGTCATTTCAAGAAAACCATTTAAGGGCCGGCCGAGTGGCGCGATGGTTAAGAACTGGCTTGGGACGCCAGAGGGCCCCGGTTCGGATCCCACATATGAGGGCCAGTGACACTGCCCTCTACCGCTAAGATGCTGAACAACAGCTCAACCTGGAGCTGGGCTGCCGTGAGTCGCCGGCAACGGCGTAGGCTGCAGTCCCTGTGGCAGTGGGTTGCCGTGAGTCGCCGGCAACGGCGTAGGCTGCAGTCCCTGTGGCAGTGGGTTGCCATGGGCTACCGTATGTAGCCAGCAGCCAGCGTGAGCGGCCAGCAGCCAGCGTGAGCGGCCAGCAGCCGCAGTGAGCGGCCATCCAGAAGCCGGCGACTGATGTGCCTCTCCCGGGAAGAGCGCAATGAAGGTGCCAACTTAGGCCAGTGAAGCAACGTCCTCCACAACTAGACTGAAGAACAAAAAGACAGCAACTTGTCTGTTCCCCTTCCCCCAATTCCCCAGCGCTTTTCCCATCCCCCACAATTCCCCAATAAAAATCTTAAAAAAGAAAAAAAGAAAACCATTTTTAAAAACTTGGATAGGTTCTTATGTTTCTAATTTATTCAGCAGAAAAGAGATTCGGGGCCTGCTTTGCCCCATGAATGGTTTATGAATGGCTGGGCATGGGCAGCCCCTGTCAGCTGACCCAGAAGTAAACACAAATGCTTTCCCCAGATTTTGGCACCAACAGACCTTAGGCATCTTGATCCACAGCCATTTCCTGGGTTTTCTTTCTTTAGAGAGGAGACTTGTTGGAAGGGTCATCAAATTGACAGAAGAAGGTTCCCATCAGTGGAAACAAAGGGGTTGTCAAAACAAGAATGTGTCCTGGGAGCTAGATGACAGGGCCAGAGGGTGGCATCCTGTTTTTTGCTTCCATCTAAAGACCAAAGTAACCTATGGGGGAGAAGGGGCAGTGTCCACCTCAAGAAGTCAAATTCTCTCCTCTTAGAGTCTTAGTCCCCATCAGGGGTGACTATCATCTTTCCGGGGGAGATAGTCATCTTCTCAGGTGCTATAGCCTTCCTTCTAGGAAACATGATCTTCGCTCCAGAGGTCTCAGTCTGAAGAGGCACAGAGGTCACAGTCATCTCTCCAGGGGTCACAGGCTGATGACGCATAGGGGTCATGGTCTTCTCTCTAGGGGTCTCAGTCTTCCCTTCTAGAACTACAGTGTGCTTTCCAAAGGACACAGTTTCCCTTGCAGGGGTCACAATCCCACCTCTGGGGACTGTAGTCATATTTTCAGTCTTCCTGTGGGTCTCAGTGGCCACAGCCTCTCCTCCTGGGAACAAAATCCCCGAATCAGTGGTCAATGTCTTGGTCACAGTCAGCGTTTCAGGGCTAGTTCTTGAGAAATTCCTAGCAGATGAGAAACAAAATTCTGGAGTTGAGCTGGTCTCTAGAGAAAATCATCAAAAAAGAATGAGATTTCTACTACTTCCTTCCCATTCCATTAATTACAGGCAGGCCTAGAACCACTCTAGGGCTGATATACCTGCTCCCGAAAGCCAGAATTGGAGGATTTCATAATGCACCCACTTGAGAACATAGATAAAATCCTACCACACAGAAGCCCTGCTCCCCCACCTCATCATGTTAACACAATCCCAGGCACCAATGGGCCCTCGGTGGATTTGCTACATTTCTGATAGATGACCCCATAAGTCCTCATTTTGACCTCTCTGACTTCACCTTCAGTAAGATCTTGCCCCCAAGTCCTAATTCCTTACTTGTTGAATTCTCAAGGAGAAACTTCCCCATCGTAGGAGGCACCAGGAACTGCACTGAGGACAAGGAGGCTGCTCTAGACAACATGTTGTAAAGATTTGGGCTGGAGCCCCATCTGCCCCTGACTAGCTCTGTTACCTTTCTGAGCCGCAGTCCCCTTATCCATGTAATGATAAACTAACAGGTAACTATAAACTAACTCCAAGGGTGTTTCAGCTCCAGCATGCCGGGTCCCATTTCCTATCTGCCAGGGCAGTCTCTACTATCAAAGAGCCATCAAGAGAAACCTAATTTCCTTTTCTGGCCCTTATCCCATGAAAGCAGGAGGAAAAACAAAACAAAACTGAGAAATAAACTAATATATATTGACTGTTAGTTATGAGCCAGCACAGCTTTCATTCCATGTCTCACTTAGTTCTTATAATAATGTCATGAGTATAAGGATTATTACCATTTTACAGATACAGAAAACAAAGCTCAGAGAGGTCAAATGGAGCACAAACTCAAACCAAGAGTAGAAAACAAATTGGCCTGAGAATCATCAAAGCTTATTCTCTTCTCTCAGTATCATGTTGCCTCACCAAAGCCTTTGGATCTAACAGAAAGGACCCACCCAGTGCCTGTGCAAAGGTGGGGTGAGGGTGCAGGGGACACTCAATGCAGAACACTCCTCAGCCTGAAGGCCTCCCTGGGTCTGGAGAGAAAGACGCAGCTCCCTTACTATTGTGGTGTTTCAGCAAGAGAGCCCTGTGGGAAACAAAGGTAGGAACCACACACAGGTTCCACACACATGCCCAGAGAGATGTGCCCAGCATACCCTCCAGTCCTCGAGGGCACCCACCAACTTGGCACCATAGCCAGATGCAAATGCACAAATGGAGACACACACACCATTCACCTGTTTCCTCTTCTCTAGGCTGAGCCAGGGGAGCCAGATCTATCTAAGCACCTTTTCACTTTTCACACACCTTGTGTGTGCACACATGCTGTGCGCAGGGACAACGATGATGTCTAGAAATCCCAGCAAAAGTTCTAGGACAGTGGCTCTCAACTCTGGCTGCAGATTTAAAAGTCGGGATGTCCTGGCTCCTCCCCCCCAAGATTCTGATTTCATGGGTCCAGCATAAAAATGCTTGATGTGCAGCCAGGTTTGAGAACCACTACTCTGGGCATGCCTCTCTGGACCCCTCTGGCCCTTCGCTATGTCCCGTCCCACCTCTACCTAATGCAGGCCACCTGAGGCCCAGGCTGCTTCTCGGACACCAGGAAGATGATAAACTTATGAAGCCTGATGCCTCCTGGACGAGTGACATGGGGAGGGCAGGGACTCACCAACCCACTGCAACAGCCTTCCCATCTCCATGTCCTGAAAGCTGCGAGGCTAGAGCTTGAGGCTCTTTATCTGAGCTTCCCAGGTACAGCCCGGGACAGCACTGGGGCAGCCCAGCTACACACACACACACACACACACACACACACACACACACACACACACACAGAGAGAGCCTGGGACAGTGATTAGGAGGCTGCTACCCCAGAGTCACAGTGACTCCAGCACCTCCTGCCCTTCCTCTCCAGCGGAGCTGTAGCTCTCAGAGCCAACAAAACCACAGCTCCATCTGACACTGGCATGGAGTGGGTACCTGCCACTGGCCATGGAGAAGGCAGGGCCGTGCTCAGCCCCTCTTCCTGGTATTCAGCCCACGTGGACTGAGTGTGAGGATGAAACACTGTGTGGGAGCAGTAATTCTATTGTTACAAGATTATTGGTTAGGGAAGCACTGTAATATAAAGTTTAAAAGTCCCAGCTTTGGACTCAGGCAGGCCAAAATTGGAATCTCAGTATCACCAATTAGAAGTTTCACGGGCAAGTTACTTAGCTCTTGGAATGTCAGTTTCCACACTTGTAAAATGGAAATCCTAACCCATACTTACTTCATAGGGTTTATAGAAATTAAAGAAGATCATGTATGAAGAAGTGCTAGGTCGGTGCTTTGCAGATAATAAGGGCTCCGTGAATGGTAGCTGTTATTAGGGATGTCCAAAGAGTTGCCCAGCAGACAAGGGTTCTCAAACTCAAATGCTGACACTTGCCAGGCAAGTAATGTAAATGGGTGAAGTGCACATAGCAAAATAGCTCACTCTCCACTTTATTACAAGAATAACAGGTAAAGCCCAATAGTACACATCAACCAACGCAGAGCCTCTTGGTCAGGAGACAGCAGAGATTGGTACGAACAGGCACATCACTGAGTAGCCACTCAAGGTCGCCGTGCAGTGAAATAGACCCAATGTTGAAAGGTTCTTTGATTTCTCAAGAAGAGACAAAAAAATCTGAATTTTTGTATGCGTTAACACTGTTTGAGCCAGTATATGAGCCAATGGTGAGAATGTTGGCTCTCCTTAGATGCCCTAAAAATTCCTCCAAATACATTGAAACATTTAGTGTATGTATTACTGAAAGACATGCTTATGCAAGTATACTTTGAAATAAATCTTTTGTCTATTATTTTAATTTGTAGACACAAAGTTATTAAGTCAGACAACTACTAAAATATAAGGAATATTTAATACAGAATTACTAAGGCAAATAATTACTGAAATACAAAGAATGTAACGACTACAATTCTGGATACCTGAGAGCCAAATTTAAAAAACACAACAACAGGGGCCGGCCGAGTGGCTCAGTTGGTTAAGAGCTCACTCAAGAGCTCGAGCTCTGAGCAACAGGGTCACTGGTTCGATTCCTGGCCTGAGATGAGCTGCTGCTAAGCTGCCAACAGGTGGCAGGATGGCTCAGCTAAAAACAAAACAAACAAACAAACAAAAATACCAAAAAACACAACAACAATATGAAGGATAAACAAAATAGGTGTGCAGCCAGATGCTTTTATGATCCATCAGTTTCCTTTTTCCATTATAGATCTCAGACCATGGGTAGGTCCCATATTTTAGGTTCTGAATCTCAGTCATGGAGGACTAGAAATTGGATGTTCTCAGTGTGTTCAATATGCCCATTGTTCCAGAGACGGACACTGCTCACCTAATAAACATGTCGCCAAGGTGCTAACCAGGTGTTAATATAATAAATGACACAGGGAAGTGACAATGGCTAGAGGTTGAATTTGCCTCACTTCCGGTATGAAGAAACCAGGAAAGTCAACTTTTCTTATCAGCAGAGTCCTTGGATATCATGGAATAAAAACAGTAAATGGTATTGAAGGTTTAGGGTGAGGATATTTCACTGAAGCTCTGGGAAACCTGGTGGAATATCTACCTAACAGATACTGTGTTTCCATTTGTTCATCCCTCTCTGCCTTCCTTTATGTATTCAACAAATATTCCTTGAGCACGTGTCAGGCCCTGCTGGGCACTCTAGATAAAGCAGTGATGAAGACAGTTTCTGCTCTCAAGGAGCGTCTAGTCTAGGGAACACATTGATCACACCCCCAAGAGCTAGTGTGTGTTTCTCTCTCTTGGAGAAGTGTGTGTCTGTCTCTTGTCTCTCTTGGGTGGGTGCAGTGGGGAAAACATGAGTTTCGTTGCCAAACAGATTTGAGATCCAGTTCCTGCTCTGTGCCATCACTGGGGCCACTTGAGTCCCACTTGCACGTCCAATGCCACCCTCCATTCGTTGAGCTAACATTAGTCCGAATCAGGATATAATTAAGCCTCCCGAGAGCAACACTGGACCAGGCTTGGCATCAACTTGCACCTTGGTTAGATTACCCTGGTGTGGTTTCTGACTCCAGTGCCCATCCTCTTACTCGTTTCCCATTTTCTAGCCCAGGTGCCCTAATTCTTGTTACTGGGTCTGTTTTGATTCCTCTTCCTGTTTTGTGTACTGTAGGCATTATAGTTGCTTCCTAGGGCCTGGGTCCTGACTCAGTCTTGCCAGGCTCCTGGGGCCTCACTGTCTTTTAAGGCCTCCTTGATGTGGAATGCCTGCCTCTCCCCACCCTGCCCCCTAGACTCCACATCACTAAGATTTCCCACTAGGTTTGTGCCCTTCTACCTAGACCGCTGCCAGGGGCACTAGCTATTAACGCTGTGCCCATCACAGAGCTAAATTTGCGTATCAATCTGAAGCTGTGTGTCTGCACCTGGGTCCATCCTCCCGGCTCCTATTCTGTTGCAGTGGGCAAGGCTAGATCTCAGACCTCTTTTTTTTTTTTAAAGATTTTTATTTGGGAGTTGGGGGGAGGGGAACAGTTTTGGGGAATTGGGGAAGGGGACCAGCCAAGTTGTTCTTCAATCTTTGTTGTGGAGGGTGCCAGTCGCCATCTGGCTTCCGGTGGGCAGCTTGTGGCCTCTAAGCTCAAGATGCTGTGTTCAATCTTAGTTGCGGGTGGGCGTAGCCACCATCCCATGCAGGAGTCGAACCCAGCAGCCTTGTTGTTAAGAGCGCATGCTCTATCCACTGAGCCATTCGGGTGTCAGCTCAGCTCAAGGTCCGAGTTCAGTCTTAGTTGCGGGTGGGCATAGCCCCCCATCGAACAGGCAATCTTGTTGTTACACCAGCTGTGCCATCCTGCCACCTGTTGGCAGCTCAGCGACAGCTCAGCTTGGGCGCAGCGTCACTGGCCCATGTGGGAAATCGAACCGGCGGCCCTGTTGCTCAGAGCTTGTGCTCTTAAGCCACCTCTTAACCAACTGAGCCACTAGGCCGGCCCCCAGACCTCTTCATTGTACCTGCAAAAGTGACTGGGAACGCTGAGAATGCCAAGACATAACAAAGGATGCCCAGGAACGACCTCTGTTTCATTCAGGATGATTGTGCCAAAGAGTTGGTAATTGTGACTATGTGTGTGTAGCAGATGTTGCATAGTAAGAGGCTGAATGAGGGTTATGTTGAAAATCAGTGTGCCACATCGCTGTTCGTTCTCAATCCTTCTCCTTGAATTCTTGCTGTGAAAAAATATAACCATTGCTTTTTATTTTTACACACCCACCCAGATACTTAAAAATACTCCTTCCTGGGGCGGCCAGTTAGTTCAGTTGGTTAGAGTGCAGGCTTATAACACCAAGGTTGCTGGTTTGATCCCTGCATGGGCCACTGAGCTGTACCCTCCACAGTTAGATTGAAATGACTACTTGATGTGGAGCTGATGGGCCCTGGAAAAACACACTGTTCCCCAATAAAAATCTTAAAAAAAACCAACTCCTCCCTAGTGCTTAGACTGTTCTAATGAAGCGAGAAACGGTATTTACAAACATCTTCTAGTTGGCTTACTGAAGGAATCCCCGCAGCAGTGCAACCACTTCCATATTTTACAGCACTCAGCTAGATGCCAGACCACAGACCTGAAGTGTTTTGGTTTTAACAAAGCATTTGACGAAATCTTTCCTGATATTCACATAGACGAATTGGAGAAGTATGACTTGAACAAAATCAGTTGGTTGGATGATAGCAAAGAGTATTGACTACAGATCAGTGTCAACTTAAAAGTCTTACACCTTTAAAATGAAGGAAATATACTAGAGCAGTATTTTTCAGTATTTGATATAAAAGATAATTTTTGGTTGTACATGAGGATTTTTTAAAAGTTTAATATTTATGTGTTTATTTTAATGTGTATTAGAAAATATATATTATCCCCAAAACCCATTATTTCATAGATATTATTTGTTTAAAAATTGAGGCAATTCAAAAAAACAGTATTTTAATAAAGTTGTAGAGGTACTATGTCCAAACTTCCATCACTTTCAACTTGAGACCCCGGGTAAGGGTTACCACTAACGTGAAAAAACTCAGTTGGAAACTGAAGTTCCTAATGCTTGTACCATGGTGCCTCCCAAAGTGAAATGCTTGATGAGAAGCTGGCACCCAACATTGAAGGGACAGGTGAAATATGTCTATATTAACCGAAGGAACTTTGAACTGATGTCACTGGCTGGGCTCCTACCAGAAAGTTAAATAATGTTGTTTGGGGATTAAACTCTGTATTTTAATGCTCTAGTCCATATTGAAGGTGCAGAACACCATTTATGAGACAACGAGTTTCCAGAATAAGTTGAGGGCTACATTCAATCATAAAATAAGATTGCAGGCTCATGGATCATGTTGCTTCTGTAACTAAAAACAAGTTAACCCTTTCCTCTCCTGACCTTCACATCTCCCTGTCTCTGGATTGCTCTAGTCCTGTGACAATGTAACGAATAATGAAGATAAAAAACTCCATCATTGCCCACTTTTGACAGCGAACTCAAGAAAATGTGTTTGGGGTCCTAGACAAGTCTGCTCTTTCCTTTTCCCAAACTACGCTTGTGATACAGACTGCTGATGTTCTTGAGAAATTTTTATTAGCTCAAAAGTGCTTACCCCTTTCCCAAACAAAATGTTTCCTGCACAAGTGATTATAACATGTGTTCAGTATGACCCAGGTTTGGCAGTAAGAAACTCGCTATAAACAGTGATTGGTTATGAATTCTCTCAGCTCCTTCCACATATGTTGGCTCTCCTTAGATGCCCTAAAGCGTCCCCAGAATGCATCAAAACATTTAGTGTGTGTCTTACTGAAAGAAGTGCTTATGTAAGGATACTTTGGAACAAACCTTTTGTCTATTATTTTAATTTGTAGGTACAAAGTTATTAAGTCAGACAACTGCTAAAATACAGGGAATACTCATGCTGTTCAAATGCAACAAGAATCTTAGAAGGATCAGAGCCTTTTACTTGGAGGTCTAGATGTGGCAAGAACTTTGTGGCGCCCTCTGAAGCTGAACATTTAAAAACTAAACTGCAGGGACCCTCCCAGCTCCCCACACCCTGTACCGTGGCTGGAGGCCCAGAGCAGTCAGAGCTTGGGTGACTACTGCTGCGATGAGTGAACCAGTGGGTAATGCCTGGACAGCTGCTTATGAAACCACCGGCCACCTACTGTTGTGTGGGGCAGGAGAGGTACCTCGGGCATCAGCCCAGTGTCTGGTGCCACCTGACTCTGTGCTCAAGCCCTCCTGTTTGCCGTGGAACAAGCACCACCTGGGAGTGAGCCTCCTATGCCCCAGGGACCAGAGATCAGCAGGGGGATATGATGCGTCAGGTTAATGGACTCCAGAGTAAGGATGAAGATGGAATGGACTTGCTCCAGCATTCGGACACTTGAACCAGTGAAATTAAATGCAAAACACATGCTTATATCGTTTTAAACATACAAAATAAGCCTATTCCCATCTGTCATCAGCAAGTCCATGCTCACACTACTGAAGGTATTCTCAAGTCGAAAACCTAGTAACTTGTCGTGATACCACAGTTCTGATTGTTTTGAGGTCACCTTCTATGTTGCGCCATCTTTGTTGCTCACATTCAACCAAAATTGTACTGGCCATTCCTATGGTGACTTTGATTAGGTCTACAAATATCTTGGTGGCAATCACTAATAGATGTTAATTTCACATCAGCAGAGAGCTGAATCCAAACTAACATTCCGTACAGTAAGATAATGTGGTTCTTTAAAAACTGTTTCCCTTCTTTGATGTCATTTTAAGCACCTTGACACACAGATACATTTCCTTGGATTCTTATCTCTTCCACTGAGTTTTCTCTCCATCATTCTTAAGTCCATGAGGAATAGGGCTGATAATTCAGTTCCTTCCCATCTCACTCCATCTTACTGTCTCTAAGTGATCACAAATTTTAAGCTTTAACCTCTGAGAACTTGTGTTTCTACCAACCCATTCTATTACCTCCCAAGGAGTTACAGTAAAGAACAGTGAAGGCTTTATTCCTACCTCACCCCAAACCTGAATCATACATTCACAATTTCCCGTGCATTTTACTTGAGGGTAATTGTGAGAACAGAGCTCATGCTTGGCAAGGGTGAAGCATGGAAGCTTTACTCACAAATATTTTGTCCATATTCCTTCAAACTATCCGTTTCGTGTGATTTTGGTTAAACTTATAAAGCACAAAAGTCCGTAATAACTAATCCATGATTTCTGAGTTGTCAGTCCATCAACCCGAGTAACTAAATGTTTACCTGAACTTCCAACTAGCCACTCTGTGAGCATCGGTGGTATAGTGGTGAGCATAGCTGCCTTCCAACTGGCCACTCTAGGGAGCTGGGGAAATAATAATAGGCTACACAATTGACACCCTCATGACTCACCTAAGTGAAATATGTCTAAGTGCACATAACACACACACTTCACAAGACAGACCAACAAAGCCTAAACTTTTTATTTCACAAGCCAGTGTTTCCAATTCTCTCTCTGATGCTGCAATTTAAAATCTTCGGAGCCCACCAAAACAGCATTCTGACTTCCTATATCCACAGAAAGGGGCCCGCAGGTAGGAGATAAGGCCCCAGGCAGTTTTCATGTAGAAAAAGTGGAAGACATTTCTCTTCCCGTCAGTTTTTCATGTAACTGAAATGCCTTTAAGCTCTCCATCACCCCCAAACTCTTTTCTATAGCGTCTATGACAGAAAAACACTCATCCCTTATATACACAACTCCACTGGGGCAGGGGGAGCATCACACAGGCACCAGCCACACTCATTTTCAGCCCGAAAGTGGGTTTCTGACTCAGTTTAATGGCAAGATGTGCACGACTGTGGTGACCGTGTCCCGGCTCTTCCTCGAGGTGAGCTGGGCTGGATTTCTGTGAATGGAAGCAATGCCCATAATAAAGGTGAGTAAAGCTCTATAAAAACCATTAAGTTACTCCTGTCTCTATGAGGAGTCTGTGAGCTGCTTCCGAGGATCCAGGAACACCCACGTACCAACACGTCATCCAGACATGGCCAATTCCTCGTGCACAGCTGCACGGGAAGCATAAAACCGTTGTGAACTCTTTGTGGGGGAGGGAGAAGAGGATTTGGGAATGATGTGGGACGGATTTTTTATTCCCCCCACTTCCTAAAACTACGTATCTACACACACTCAGGCATACATACAGATCCATTTTCAGAAACGGTTTTCTTCCCTGTGACTACAGGATCCCAGAATCCTGCCAACCCCAAGTGGAGAGACGTGCCCGGTAACTGCGGGTCTGGTGTTATCAACACACTGCGGAAGGCTCCTGTGTTGTTGCACAAACTGACAGGGCAGGGGCAAAGGGAGTGGCTGCTCATGGGGATTTGCTTTCTGTCTTAGATCCAATCTACTCAGCAACACTGTTCGGACGAGGTGCTGGGAGAGGTTCTGTGGGCACAACGTGGTGGAGGACCTGATGGTCCCAGCCCACAGTGGTCACGAGGGAGTGGTTGAGCGGGGACCAAGTAGCATCTCTCACAAAGTCCCTATGGGCTTGGCTTCTAAACCTAGAAGACAGAAAAGGTTTGAGCACGGTGAGAAACCAGAGGAAAAAGTGACTTGGGAAAGAAAGAGAACCCAGCACATCTAAGGCACATTTTTGGGGTGTGTCACACACACTTCATCAAAGGTATGGCCTTGTCGCCAGGACAGCAGTGTAGATAGCTGTACACAAGGGATTTTGTTGATCATGCAATCCACTGCCCCATTTTCAGATATGAAAAAATGGAGGCGAGAGCAAAGGTGGGGGATGATCAGACAGCAAATCATGGTAAAGAAGGAAGTACATGATTCTCAGCCCGAGCTGAGCTGCCGCTGAGCTGCCAACAGGTGGCAGGATGGCTCAGCTAAAAAAGAAAGAAGTACAATTCAAACCCTCTGTCTGGTACCTCGCACCCTACGACAGGGTGCATTTCATGTATGTGGTTCTTTACGTAAAAAGGGTAGATGGTGCCCTTCTGGGAGAGAACCGTGATGCCAGACTTAGGCATTCCACCTCCCACTACACTGCTCCTCCACCACGGACAGAGCTGTCTGTGAGTCAGCCCAGGAACGGGGAGGTGATCAACAGTCAGCCTGCTTCCATCACCCAGTCCCCTTGAAAGAGACAATGCATGTTCCTAAAGAGAAAAAGGACCTGGCGACCCACTGCTCCCCTCCCCGATTCCTGGTCACCGGGGCTCCACTTCACACTTACACCTCGGAAAGGCCCGAGTCCAGCACAGCGAGCGAGCAGTCTTCACTGACAGAGGCCAGGAGGGGGACACTAGGAGAGGAAGGAGAGGTTGTGAAAGGTCAAACCCATAGGCCCCAAGACAAGCATTGACAGGCCGGCCACCAGCCCCGACTACAGTGACCCACAGAAGGTGGCCTGATCCCACTCTGGGTTAAGGTCTGGCTACCACTCAAGTCCACATTCCAAGTGCCAAGAAAAGATGAGGGTAATGGGAAAGCCAAGGCTGACGATCATCCTGGCAACTAATCATCCCATCTGGTCCCTTCCGGTAGCTTCAGCAATAACGCAGAAACACAGGCTTTTCCAACCACACAACCCTAGAAGCCCACAATATTAATCGTTTTGGGTGTTGTGCAGGGTGCTAGCCATTTACGGACAGAGATTGTACAAGCCTAAAAAGGACTACAGTCTTAAGAGATCCTTGATGTTCTGAAACCTCAGTTCGAGCAGTGTCTGCTCTAATGTGTTGCCAACATAAGCATCTCCCCTCGCTGTGCCCCATACCTACCAGACCCTGGTGACAAAGAACAGTACCTGTGTGGGGAGAACACCAGCCCAGTGACACACTGGGAGTGCACAGCTGAGCTGAGGGCACAGCGTGCACTCTTGGTATCCACAAGGGAGACGGTCCCATTCTCATCTCCTGCAGAAAAGAGGGAGCACATCACAGCGGTTAAGAGTCAACGAGACCTGGATTCGAAGGCTGCTTCCTCAATCTAGTCGACCAGCGTCGTCTGTTGTAAAGTAGGAATAATTAGCCATTGGGTGGTTGTGAAAATTCAATTAATGGATGATGTGGTTATTAATTTAAACACAAACTATGTCACCATATGCTCAGCCACATCACCATGACAGTGCTACAACTATCCACAGTTGAACACAATTCCCTACACAGTAAGTCCTCACTTAACGTCATTGTTAGGTTCTGTGACTTTAAGCAAAATGATGTATAACAAAACCAATTTTACCACAGGCTGCTATGAACAAGAGTTAAGTTTCTACAGCATTTCATCAACGTCATCACAAAACAACATTGGATGAAATGATGTTATTCGAGGACATGCTGCATAGGAATCCACTTGCTTTGTGGCCCAAGGACTTAGCCATGCCCAGAAAACAAGAGCCAGGACTCCAATCTACTGGGGGAAAAAATCATGGTGTTCTCCAAAGTTAAACTAAAGCCACTTTTAGATAGTGCCACCTCCCCAGCTCTCCAATGGCATATGTCACCTGATGCCCAGGTGTGCTAATGAGACGAGGCCTAGAACCTGTGCATGTGACATTCGTTAGGGATCCCGCTCTCATCCTCCCCCTTCCCAAAGTGAACACAGTTTGGAGTGCAGTCTCACCAAAGACAAAGACTTCACTCTGCTGAGGGTGCCAAGCCAGGGAGGTAGGAAGGTAGCCAGACACACTGCAGCCTGCAGAGGAGAGAGGGAAGAGTCTGGAACAAGACTCAGAGAACAGCTCTGAGAAGCAGCTCCGCCGGTCATTCTAAGTCCCAGGAGCACCCTGGCTCGGTGTCCTACAGGCTGCTGAGGCAGTCGTGTCCTCGTCCTTGACCCTCATAACCCAAATGTATTCATCAGCCTCCTGCCCTTTCTGGACACACGTCACAGGCAAGTTTCAAGCGTAAGACACGAAGATATAATAACAACTCTGGCCCCTCTGTTCGCCTATCCTGGAAATGTACAGTCAATCACCCTCCCAGGAACCAGCCCTTCCTCTTGGTACCCGCTGCACAAAATGGGGCCAGCAGAGCCTCAGTGGGAAAAAGCGATTAGATCACTTATGTCCCAGTGACCCGGCATCTGGCAACCTTGCCTTTGACTCTGGCAAAGCAAAGCCTATTTCAGGAGGGCTCCTAGTACCGCTCTCCCACCACTGGCTCTCGGACTCACCCATCTGTGATGCCGGCTTGGGGCAGCGTGTGTCCCAGAGTAAAATTCTACTGTCCTAGAAGTAGAGGAACAGAAAAAAAAGCTTCAGGATCCAAAGAAGCAGCTGCCGGCCAGGAGCGCTCAACACTAGACTTTGGCCTAGAGGGCCTGAGTGTGGTTAGGGAGCGGGAAGGGGAGAAAGAGGCTGAAGGAAGCTCACCTCACTGCATGAAAGAAACACAGAGTCCTGCTGGGGAGAGGCAGCAACACAGGTGACCTGCCCAGAGTGAGCTGTAAAGGAGAGAGAGTAGACAAAACCTAAGAGAAGTGCTGACGGAGTGATAAAACCGAAAAGGGTTTGGGAAAAATTAATTAGTAAAGATGATGAAAGAGAAATTAGGGGCTGAGTAAGAATAGTGAAGAAATTTACAACGAAGACATCCCAGAGCCTCCAGGTAACATACAAAAACTTTCAAGGGCGTTTGGGACATGAAAGTTTTAAGGGAATTCTCAAATGTTCTCTTTCCTAAAATTGAACTGAGAAACTACCTATAATCTGTCAGTGCTCCTCTCCTACGTCTGCTTTCACAATCGCACTTCTCCCACTGCATGGAAGGAACACATCTCTCCCCTATCCCAAATCTTACCACGGTACAGCGCTCAGGACTATAAAAACCGAAGGTTTAAAACAAAAGGGGCTTTTCCCTAAGAGTCAAAGGGCAAAAGAAAGGGCATCTGGGTAAAATTCAGTGAAGGGGCTGGCCTGGTTTCCTCCACACCACAAATACAAGTGTGATTCTACGGCTTATCTCTGCTTCTAATAATGAGAATTCTGAAAAATAGGACAAATAGTTATCATAAGGTCACATCTAACAAGCTTACTTAAATTTAAAAATGAAGTCAGGTCTTTTCTGACACAAAGTTAAGTTTAACTTAGCCAAGTGGTTTACCAATGCAGATTGGTTTTTGCCACTTAGGTTATTTGGTAGACGTTTTGCATAAATTACACATAAATGGGTTCAATTTGCAAATCCAAAATTTTGACAAACATATGCAAGTATATAATAAATGATATGGCCAGAAACTACCTTCTCTGCAGCTATTTAAACTTAAATTAGATGCCAATTTTAAAATGTGTGAGAGGGTACAGTGTTTCAAAATTCTTTTAGGTCTATATGACAAAAAAATTTGAAGATCATTGCTATATGTTAATTATAGGCTGTGGGAACCACCATCTCTAAAGTCACAGAACCAGACTTTCTGAGGTAGTCTGGATGAAGCTATGCCCTGAGACAGAAGCATGGGATCAAACCACCTTCCACATTCTTTCTTAGCCCTAGAATACATGGAAAGCCAACACGAATTCATTGCTCACTTGAAAATGGCAAATCCCTGGGATAAGCACCATGGCGGGACACAAAATATCTGAAGCATAGATGGTTCCTCAGCTCTCAAGGGATTTGGAATTCAGTGGGGGGAATAAGATATAAACACAAACAATGAATGAAAAAGCTTGAATGGGGGAAGTGCTGACAGACTTAGCACTGACCAGGAAATCACAGCATATGTTTAAGAAACAAAAGGCAAGTAGAGTAGACTTGGCATTTTAACATTATTGTTCAACTATTTGCAAGTGACCCTGAGGGTCCAGGATATGTATGATCCTGTGGTTTTTTTATTGGGCGTCTGTGAATCATGCACGCTGAAGTGACAATTGGCAGAGGGAGGCGCTTGGCCACTGAATGAACCAAGTGATCACCTAGCATCTGCATCCCTTAGCCACACACCCGTTCATGTTCTAGATGTCATCTTCATGAAGATATGGCATCTTCACGAAAAATGGCTCCCCCGAAAGAGGGTCAGCTTCTAGCACTGTTAATGAAAAAGACCAGGAAAAGGAACATTAATAGAAAGTGATAGTTCTCACCAGAAAAATGGAACTTTTATGGAGGTGAATATTCAAAAGTTCAAGATTCACAAGTCTCAGGGTTTATACTTGGAGAACGCCATGGGTCTACTGTGATTGGGTTTAGCTGGTGCACTTTGCTTATAGGGTGGAGGGCAGACAAGAAAATGGGATTTTAATCCGCAAGCCACAAGAAACCAATAAAAGACCAAAGATTACAAATGGAGAGATGAGATGACTGCCACCGTCTGTGTGAGGTGAAGCCTGAATGTAAATGGGAGCACAAGAAATGAGAAGGAGGTCACTCACCAAATGGAAAAAGACTCAAAAGAACTTGGTGACCAACTGATGGGGGGAAGCAGGAGGAGAGAAAGGGGACTAAGAGTGTGAGCCTCGGGCAGCCAATGCGGTGAGGCCATCCACAGACGTAGGGAAATTAAGCAAAGGGTAAGGGATGGACACTGGGGCCTGACTACAGTTTTGGAAGAAAACTATCAGACAGAAGAGCCAAGACCTGCTGCTCTGAACATCCAAGCAAAGTTCAAAGAGCCCAAAGGGGAGAGTAAAAACAAAACAGTTGAGGCCAGGACTAAAAAGGAAAGAAAGGCCACTCACCCCGGTATGAATTCAGTACCATCTGCTCGGCGAGGTCCCAAACCTTGATGCTAAGAAGCAAAAGGAAACAGGTACTTAATTTTGACCTACACTATCTACATAAAAATATGTGTTCCGACAAGAACTTCCTTTAACTGACATGTCCTATGTCTTTGCCTACTGGGCTTCTGTTACCATCTATTTACAATGGATTGCAAAATCTCCAAAGAAATCTTATAGACATGTCCTAATTAGTTTAATGAGCCCAAAACGTTACTTAATGAGGCTAATAAGATAGTAAAGACACCCAAAGAAGGCCTAGAGACTGCAGCGATGAGAACAAGAACCCACCAGAAGTCTTTGCTGCCGCTGACAGCTTGTGTTCCACCGTTCAGGACACTGACCGTAGACACTATGTCATCATGCTCATACTTGCAGAACTTGCTGACAATGAGTGTCTCATTCTCATCCAGCTCCCACAATTCAACAGCACCTGTCAGGGGTGGGATGGAGGGAGAGGGAAACAAGCGTGGATTATACCAGGACAGTAATTCACTTCTAGGATTCAAGTAGTCCATTGTCACTAAACTAACAAAGTAAGTTATTCCTATAAAAGCAAAGTCTGTATCACTAGAGGGTTTAGCTATCTCCAAGCCATTCAGCATTACGCTGGCATTACTGTTTTTCTAATAACAGTCCAGACAATTAGGTGGGGAAGGCTTCTAGAAAAAGACAGGGAAAGATGGAAAGGCTGGAAAAATTCATTACCCTGCTTCCAGTGAGAAAACATTGGAAAATAAGTTCCCAGAAGAAAATGATGAAGTCTCCACAATTGTCTGTGTATCATATAGTCCAGTGTGGAAAGTTATATCTTCCCAATTATAATAAACATTTGTTGAACAATCTGAATAAATGTCTTACAGTCTTAAAACAAATGTTGAATAATTCAATGTCTTGCACAGTGACTGGCTAAGTATAGCAAACCCCCAAAAGTTGCCTTGAATATATAGTGTTCAAGCTCAACTGTCAGAGCTCAATTTTTAGTATCCACATTTATTGTTCCATGCAGTGCCTGCCAACACCCAAATTTTGACTGGTTTTTTTTTTTTTTTTTCTGTACGACAGTGTGTTTTTCCAGGACCCATCAGCTACAAGTTTCAATCTAGTTGTGGAGGGAGCAGCCCAGCTTCAAGTCCAGTCACCATTCTCACTCCAGCTGTGGGGGGCCCACCATCCCATGTGGAAATCAAACCAGCAACCTTGTTGTTAAGAGCACGCGCTCTAGCCAACTGAGCCATCTGGCCGCCTACTGGTAGCTCAGCGGCAGCTCAGCTCAAGTCCTTGTCTTCAATCTAGTTGCAGAGGGTGCAGCTCACTGGCCCCTGTGGGACTCGAACCAGCAACCTTGTTGTTCAGTGCACCTGCTCTAACCAACTGAGCCACCCGGCCACCCCTGATTGTTTTTTTCAGGCCCCATTCAGCCTGACATTTAAAACAAAGAAAGCAGAATGATGACATTTAAGAAGAAGAAAATGGGAAGAAATGGAGAGATAGCACAGATTTGGCTTCAGCACCATCTTTAAGATCAAGATTATCTTTGGTCTGGATTGGGGTATATCACGGAGGTTACATAGAAGAAAAATGGTTCTAACCCATTTCTTACTTTTGTTGTGCATTTTATTAGAAATTCCCACTAGGCAATTTAGAATCTCAGAAAAGGTATTTCCCACCTACACAGGAGTTCTCCTTGGGGACCAGCAACCTCAAGCTCCCCCAAGCACTGACTGGGGGGCATCAAAGATCGAACCCAGCTCAACCTGTACCCCTTGGCCTCCATTTCACCTGTGGGGTTGAGGAGAAAGTGACTCACCTGAATCAGAAGCCACTAGGATACCTCTGTCCCCTACCCAAGTGAGGTCCGCCACTCCGGCCTCCGTCTGGACTCCGGCCGAGCAGAAGCCTTCGTTGGGGGCGGCACAAGGGTCTTTGAAAAGCCAGAGGGAGCCAGCCCAGCAGCGGCCACTCAGGCTGGAGGCCCCCAGCAGGAGAGCCCCATCTAAGGGAAGTACAAGCTGTCAACGCGTGAGAAGTGTAAGGGCTCGTCTCCATGGAGACCGCACAGAGAACCACGCGGGTCGGGTCTGGATCTGAGCTCAAGAACGCGGGACAAGGTTGGGGACTGAGCTCAGCTACGCGAGGCAGGGGCAGGATGACATGAGGGCGGGGGCGGGCTGGAAGGATCAGTCTCGCGGAGGGTCACCCCCAGCCGGGGTGAGGGAGCCCAGGCCCGGGATCTCTGCTCACCCGACCGGTATCGCGCAGCCTCCAACTGCCGCTCCATACAGGCGGGCGCATTAGGGGGAAGGTTCCACTCGCGGGCCGCCGCGGGCACTAGGGAAGGCGGGGTTTCCTTCCGCATCTCCACAGTTCCAATTCCAGCCTGGACCCAAACTGGACGCCCGACGGCGATTCAGCTCCGGCAGTCCCCACGTGGTACTCCTCTGGGCCTCCGCCCCTCTTGAGAGGCTACAGGCACTCTACATCTCGCGAGAATTGCTTCTACGGTCCCATTCCGCGTTCCCGCGGCCGCCCTCGGGCAACAGGTTCTCAGGGCTCTGTGCCTCTTATCGCGAGAAAAAGAATTGACGAAGGGAAAGAGGGCGCACGTTCTCCTCTCGCGAGACTTGCGAGCGACCATCTTGCTCCTGCCCCCGACAGGCTCGCCTGTCCAGGTCACTGGGACGCCCAGACAGCCGAGTGGCCCTTCGCTGACCATGTTGTCCCGGGTGGTATTTTCTGCCGCCGCCACAGCGGGTGAGAGTTGTAGACCCCGGTCCGGGCTATCAGAGTGACTGTAAAGAAGCGCGTCCAGGGTTACGTGGAGGGAGTGGAAGGAAAGGGGGTGAAGAAAGGTGCAGCGAAGCTTGGGCCTGAGTGAGGGAGTGATTAGCGCCGCTCCGAAGGTGACCCTGGGGTCTCCGGGGACAGGAAAGAGGGGTGCATGGCCTTAGTGATCGGGCCCCGCGGGTACCGAGGAAGGGGCAAACCAAATTTCACCTTGACCTTGCTGACCTGCGCCTTGTGTATTTGCAGCCCCCAGTCTGAAGAACGCAGCCCTTCTCGGTCCAGGGTAAGTGAGAGGGGTGTAATACTGCCCTTCGTTCTTTTGTCATCTCATTTCGCTTCTCGGTGACCTTCTCTGAGCCTTAGGCTAGAAATTACCTTTCTTTAGGTAATTTTGGAACGGGTAAAGCCTCATTCAAACCCTTGCGCTTTTGTAATTGCCTGGAACGTCGTCTTATCACCTAATGGCAAAGTTTAAGAGTATAAGTGATGTGTGTTCTAACTAAACTAGAAACTGGTTTTGATGTCTTCTAAGCCCCGCCCCCTCTCACTTGTGACCTTCAGCTAAACGTAAGGTAGTGGCCACAGCCTGAATCAGAGTTCCTAGATTGCATACCCAAGAACAAGTTTTTTGTTTTGCTTTTAATTAAATGTATTGGGGTAACATTGGCTAATAACATTAAGTTTCAGGTGTACAATTCTGTAGTACATCTTCTGTATTTTGCATTGTGTGCTTACCACCCAAGGACTAGTCTCCTTCCAGCACCCTATATTTGACCCTCTTCATCCCCCCCCCCTTCTCTGTTGGTAACCACCATACTGTTGTTTGTCTATGAGTTTGTTTATTTTGTTTGCTCATTTATTGCTTCCTGTTTTGTATCCCACATAAGAGTTAACAAGTTTTGTTAAAACAATGAAGTGTGTTGTTTTTGGTCTGTCTCCCAGATCCTGACTTTTACTACTAAATCATAAGAGTCAGAGAAATTCATTGATTCAGTAAATATTTATTTGCTGCCCACATGACCAGAGATAGGAAAAGGAGTAACACAGTACCAGCCTTCGTGGAGCACACACACAATCTAGAGAGGAGGCTGCTATAGAGTAGTGGTTTAGAGTGAGGACTCCGAAGCTTGGAAGAACGTGGTACACCTGGCGTCTTCACTTACCAGCTGTGTGACCTCAGTTTTCTCATCTGCAAATGGAGATACTCGTACAATATGGGTTATGAAAATGAAGAGACTTAATTCCTGTGAAACTAAAAATAGTGCCTGGTAGATAATGTGTGCTTAGTAAATATTAGCAGCTGTTATTGTTAATATTATTTCATAAAACATGTCAATTTTCTTTGGGATTTCTCTTTTTAGTTCCAAACTTAGTCCTAAGTCTTACAAAATTTGATAACTGTTCTATGGCTTGAAAAGGTGGCTTTCATCTATCTGTAATTTTTTGTATATGCAATAAAGTGAGGCTATAACTGACTACTTATCAGAGAAAAAGGGTTCCATACAGACAAGTAAATAATCATAGTGCAAGAAATAAGATACAAGGAACATCCTCGGTTTCTCTTTCTTTCACGTTCCATATCTAATACATCAGCAGGGCTCTTCCACCAGATTATATCTGGAATCTGACCACAACGACTGGAGTATATAAACCTCCATCAACTGTCACTTAGGCTATTTCAGTAGTCTACTAACTAGTCTCCTTGCATCTCTCTTCTTGTCCCATTCCAACCCATTCTCACAGTAGCTATAGGGATTGTGTCAGCCCCCACCCTAACCCCCAGAAACCCTCCAGAGCTCTGCATCCCACTTGAAATAAAATCCCAACTTAACATAACCCAGAAGGCCCAAAATGAGTGGATCTCATCCTACCTCTTGATTTATCTCTTCCCGTTGTCTTTTTAGCTTGTTCTGCAGCCATACTGCACCTTCTTGCTGTTCCTCAGAAAATGGCCAAGCTTAATTTTGGCCTCAGGATCTTTGTACTTGCTCTTCTCTCTTTTCCCCAGGTCATTGGCTCAAACGTTGTCTGGCCTCCTACCAAAAAAGCCTTTCCTCTACTCTGTTACTGCCTGTCCCCTTACCTTGCTCCATTTTTTTTTCATAGAATTTACAGCTGCCTGAAATTGTGTATGGACCTGTACCCTCACACTTCCCACACCCCCGCTAGAGTGTTGTTGAAGGCTGAGACTGTCTGCTCATTGCTGTGCTCACAGGACCTCGCATAAGTAGAAAGTCAGTAGATGTTTTATGGAGTGAATGAATGTTAGCCCAAGATTGGAGAGGCCTTTATGAAGGATTTACTTGAGATGTTCTGAAGGCTGGTTGAGTTTGGCAGTTATCACTTACCAGGCATACCAGGCAGAAGGAGCAGTGCGAAGCATGTTTTTGGTTTCTTGTTTGTTTCTGAGAGCTCTGAGTAGTTACATATGGCTGGAAGGCAGGAAAATAAGTGAAGGTGAGGATATAAAACTTGACAGGTGCTGAAACATATGCTATATTAGTAGTTTGTTTTCTGTAGGCAGGAGACAGCCTGTTGAAGAAGTCAGATTTGCATTTTAAAAGCGTTGTCAGCAGTGGAGGAGGCTGGGTTTAACAGGTATTTGAGGAAAAGCACAGAGACCAGGTTTTGGATTGTTAATGAGTTTAGGCAAGAGATGGTGAGAGCTTGAACTATAAAACAGCCATTTGGCGAGAGGGTTAGTGTCAGACTAAAGCAGTTCTCCGGTGCTACGATTAAAATCAGTGGTTCTCAACCTGGGGTGATTTTTCCGTCCAGAGGACATTTGGCAGTGTCTGGAGACATTTTTGGTTGTCTCCACTGGGTGAGAAGGGGGATGCTACCCTAGATGCCTCAGGTATAAAGGCCACAGGGATTCTAGTAATCCCTTTACAGTGCACAGAATAGTTTTCCACAACAAATTGTTAGTGGTCCAAAATGTCAGTAGTGCTGAGGTTGAGAAGCCCTGATTTCAGTGACAGAATCTTGAGCATGAATCTCAGATTTCCAAGTTGGTGGGGGAGAAGTAATATTTAAAAGACAAGCAATGAACCAAAATCAATGAAATAATGTAAATTTTTACATTGGAAGGGAATAGAGATAGAGAGTGTGGTTATTTGTGAGATAGAGATAGAGAGAGTGGGTATAGTGAGTATTTGAAGGAGACTAAGCTTGACAGCAAATATGAAAAAGACCTAGAGGATTTTATTTCATCAGTAACTTAATGAGACACCAGTGTGCTAAACTGCTAAAATGCAATCTTAGGCTACTTTAATACAAGAATAATTTGCAAATCTATGATAATAGTATAATAGTTCAAGTCCAGAATATATATGTAGAGTTAATTATTTGGTCAAGCTGTATTTAGAATATTGTGCTCTGTTTTGTATGCCCCATTTTTGTAAACAAAACCAGAGAGCTCCTTATGGTGGACAGTTAGGTTTGTAAGGAGGCACAGATGTTTCACCCAGACACATGAGCGTTGTCTTTCTTATAGAGAAAAATAAAATTAGAATCAATGGATGGAGGTTTCCAGGACCTAACATATGTAGCCATTCAATTCAGAGATGAACATATAGCTATCCTGCACTGAAAAAGCGTTTCACATAGTGGTTAGTTAGAACCCTATAACAGAATATTCAGAAAGGTCAAATTTCTGCCATCAAGAAGCCCACAGCGCAGTGGAATGTATTAGCTAACCACTTATATAGAACTTTACCATGTGCCAAACAGCTTTCTGAACTTTACATGTGTTAACTCAGTTAATTCCCACAACAACCCTATGTGGTCGTATCCTGTATTCCCACTTTATTTAGAGAAGTCGGAAATTACAGTAGCTTAAGTCACTTGCTCAAAGTCAAATGGCAGGTTTAGGATTTGAACCCAAATAGTCTAGCTGCAGAGTCTCTGTTCTTAGGTATTTCAGTCCTAATAAACATAGAAGGTGCTAGACAGATAACCGATGAGACTTAGAAGGGATTCTAGTACTGAGTAGAAGGTGACATACTGTTTTAAGTAAATCATTTGTCCTTATCATATAGCTAATTATTGGCCCCTAACCATCCTGTTCCTGGTCTATTCTCTTTCTATTATGACAGTAGCAAACTGCCTCAGTCCTCATCCCCATTCACTGTTTCTACTAATTGTTCAAGCATTGTGTTCTCTTTAAAGAATAGGCTTTGAATTTGTGTAATTGCTACCTGTAGGGTACTGCAGGCGACAAGGATCTTTCACACCGGGCAGCCAAGTCTCGCCCCTGTACCACCTCTTCCTGAATATGGAGGAAAAGTTCGTCATGGGCTGATCCCTGAGGAATTCTTCCAGTTCCTTTATCCTAAAACCGGTGTAACAGGTGAGCATTTGCCCAGTGTTTGATAGTATGTTTGGGTAGTATAGTTTATATTAACCTAGGATTTTAGTGGCCTCTTACATCTTCCACATACACCACAAAAATCAAGTCAGCTGTTTTTAAAAGTAAATTGTGGAAGTGATTTAATGTAACAGTTGATTTGGTTGCTGTAACTTGTCTTTGGAATAAATTTGTTTGAGATTTTAACTTGATTTTATAGCATTGTCTCCATTTGTTAATATACCAAATTTACTGCATGCTTGCTCTGTGGTAGGCACTGTTATAGGCATACAGTGGTGAACTAAGGTGCTTGCTATCATGGAACATACATTCTGTTGTAGGATAGACAATAAAGAAATGAGTCACTTTATTATACTGTCA